GGGGCGGGGCGGGGCGCGCAGGGCAGCGCCGGCTCGCAGGGACTCGGTGTCTCTGGCCGGAGCCGCTCGCAGTCCCCGGGAAGCGGGTCCCCACCGAGGCTCCCGTGGCTGCGGGGCTTTGCTCCAGCTCAGCCTCGGGCGGGTCGCTCCCTTTGCACCGCAAGCTGTGGCCGAGCAGGCAGCTGACGACCCTCCCCAGGGCCGAGCTGTCCGCGGGGCAGCTCCAGGGCCGCTTCCCTTCCCTCCTACCCGGCCCCTCGGCCCCTTCTCCTCACAGGTTAACTTACCCTCGCTTCTGCCTTCCCCTCCGCACTCGCCTCTCTCTGCCGTTTATTCTTTCCGAGTAACTTTACACGGCGGGTGTAAACTGCACCAAAGGAAGGAACGGAGAGAACTTTTCTAGTGTTCACCAACACCATGTATGTTCCCATCCTCATTTTCCTCTCCCACCTCCCTAGTAATGCCTTCTGCTGCTCCCTCCTCTAACGTCCTCTTTACTGGACAGCCCTTTTTATATTAAGTAAAACAAAGTATCACAGACTTTGCCAGCAAATGAAACTTATTAAAAGGACGATGCAAAGCTGTCAAGCATTTACTTAGGAATGACTTTATTAAAAATAAAATGATTCTTAAGCAAATCTGGAAGTCAAATTTAGAAATACAGACACTTTCAGCATTCAGAAATAGACTTTCAGTTCTATAAACATAGGTATTTCAATAAGGCCTCTAAGATAATTATGTTCAGGAAAAAAAAACGGAAGAGGGGTATGTTTACAACACAAAACCATACCTTTCRCCACTTCACTTACAGGTCTACCAAAAATGGCTGCACATTTTTACAACCAGAAATATTTTGCTGTTTTTATCCTACAGTTTAGACACTTTCGTGGCATCCTGCTGTGAAAAGTTCAGCACATCCAGAACATAACTTTTTTTCTTTTGTCATTTGCAGTAGCACCTTGCATCCCGGCAGACCTTAACACGAACGCACCTTCACATCAGCATTCGCAGCCTGCCACACTATGCAGCACTTCATTGTAGGTATCACCTACTGCAAAAACTGCACTCTGAAGATAGCATTTGTAGAAAGATAGGGTCAAAGGTCATTTAAACTAAATTCAGTAGGCAAAACAAGTGCAAATATCATGCCATTTCACAGACTAGATTATATGAATTGTCTCTTCCTTGGAACCTGAAAAAAAAACTAAAGTGCTTTTAAAATGTGTCCTCACTGATTAAAAAGGACATGTATTTTATATATATAATCAATTGCACATCAAGATCATTACACTGCTTAAAAAGACATTTTAAAAAAAGATAAATATTATCAATATATAATTCTAGCATTGCAATTATGCATTACCATTTTAAAGAGGTACAGGCAAAAAAATCAAACTATAGAAGCTACTTATTCCCTGTAAAATATTAAGGAATAAATACGTATTCCAAGCTGTCAGCTTTTATCAAAGCCTAGCATTAGGACAGATTTGGTACTAACTTTACTTTTTATTAATGCCATGGGGTCTTCAAAATTTTGCACAGGTATTGAACACAAGCACATATAGCCTATGGAGGCAAAAGGTGAGCTTTCATAAGCACTGGAACTCTTACACAACTGTATGGTACCTCACCAACCAAATACATCATTCAGAAATTTAGCCACAAAGAACAAACAGAAAACTTTATACCTAAAGCAACTGTTCTGCAGTCTTTGCAGTAATACTTGTTTTTTAAGGCTTCAAGTGAAAGAGTGATAAAAAGAGGTAATTTCAATTTTAGGAGTTGAATTTTCTGCTAGAATTAAGGTTTGGTTTCTGCTACAGACTCCCTAATTTCATTCTGCAGCCATTTTCACATTACAATCTTGTAACTTTAACATCAGGAGCAAGACACAGCTAGCACTGCCTAGATCCCAATGGGGAAAAAAAGGAAGAAATGCAACTTTCTTTAAAGAGAAATTCTTAAGAGAGGAATATATGGATTTATTTCCTCTGAAGTTCTGCTAAATCAAAGAGACGTATAGAGATTTAAAGATGATTAATTACTTAAAGGTTAATTTAATTGTATTACTTAAAGGGCCTGATGCCCAGAAGATTAGACATTTGAGAGTTCTTCAAATAAATGGCAAGCTTATGCAGAGCAAGTGTTCCCTTCAGCAATACTTAACAAAAGGCTTCCCCTGTGATTAGTTAATACTGCTAAATAGCACTAAAACTACACGAGGAAAGAGTGAGATAGTGATATACCAACTGTAGATCTTTTTTCTCCATACACAAGATAACAGAGAGAGTCAAGCCTCAAGTTTGTCAGATTCCTCATTCCCATGCCTAAATCCTTACGAGCTACATCTGCGGTGCCTGTGCTGCCGTACTGGAAATGAGATTCCAGTTCTCAAAGCCAACCAGGACAACGCAGCAGTTGTGTCCTCGCTGCCCAYGCGGGCAGAACCTGAGTGCAAGCAAATTTCAGGATCAGATTACAAACTACAGTGCTGTCAGTTCGTCTGCAGAATGCAATAGCTGACACAACAAAAATCTTCCCTTTCCAGAAGTAGGAAGGAGCACTGTCACTAATTATGAAAGTCTGTGCAGKTGGTATTTTTCTGAAAAGGAAGTAGCACAATATGCTGGAAACAAAATAAAGCTGGAATAAAGTGCAGGATTTCTTCATTTAATCTTTTTGGATGTTATATCATCTCTTCAAAGCTATTAGTTTGAATGGACATGGAGCTAAAGTTAGACCAAACCTTCCCTCCATGGATGGTTTTGTAGCATTTTCAGGGTATAAAAATGTGAAACTTTGCATGAGACTTGCAAAAATTAAGAACAGCTCCATTTTTGCCAACTGCTCTCCCATGCACACACGTTTACCTAAAGAACAGTTAGAAAGAGACATATTACCAGTTTTATACTCAATCCGTTTGTTACTACAAACACAATTCTTGTACATCTTCCAATCTGAGAGGACCTCAAGCAGTAAGTTACAAACTTCCAAAGCTTTGGTCTCCAGTATTTGAGTCTGAGCCTTGCTCAGCTTTACCGTTGGATGCAAACTGCATTTACCTGCATTATCAAACTACTGTTAATCATTTCTCATTTCTGTCAGGTAACTGAAGATTTTAAAAATCCAACTTCTTCGTTTTGCAAGTCACAAATTAGAATAATAAAAGAAGCTTTATATTTAGTCCTATGAGTCCCTTTTAAATTTCACATCCCCAAGGCTCTGTACTTCAAAAAATACCCGCATGCAACCAAGAATCTTACCCATTCCAAAAGGAATGAAGGTCTCTTTCTTAATTAGCTGGCCATTTTCATCCAGAAATCTTGTTGGTCGGAAATCATCTGGTTTCTCCCAGATATTAGGATCTCTRTGTACTGACCACAAGTTGGGCACAATCACGCTGCCCTTAGGAATAATATATCCTTGAAGCACTTTAAACCAAAGCATAAAAACAGAGATTGGTTGGGAGCAAACAGGAGACTTTTATACTTGAAGGAGGACTAAAATACTTCATGCTAAGGACAGGGATACATAGCTGTGGACTGCAAACGCAGCAGCAGTTTAAGGAGCACTGCTGCCACCTGAGCTATAGACCACTGGGTGAGCATGTGGCAGGTCAAAGCAGCTGGAAAGACACCAAGTTTTGCTAAGAGGTCCCTGCAGGCAAAAGGGAGCAGAGAAGCCTCAGTATCATTGCTCTGCTCCAATCCCTCATTCAAAGTGCTAATATCACAGCAGCACCAAACACCAGAAATGCACTCAGCTCAGCGATTTGATCCATTTTTCTCCTACTCCTGTGTTGTCATAGTGACCCCTCAAAACAAAGAGGGAGGGTAAGGAAGAGGGATGAGTAATCTCTAAAGGATATTGCAGYGACTAGTCCAAGTTCAGTTGCATCTCACTGACTCACTACAAACTATACTGCACAACGCTTAACTACATGAGTATCTCAGTAAGCAACATTTTACATGCTGGGCTTACATGTTACAAGATATAAATGAGGTCTCTGTACATCCTCACTAGACATCACTTCAGACGTTCATCCACAGAAGAAATACTGTATTAACAAGGCTCTAGAAATGCTTACCAGCGGTTTCTGAGGCCATTCGAGGGATAGAAAGAGGAACAACTGCAGTCATCCTTTGTACTTCCATAATGGTTGCCTCTGTGAAGGGCATTTGAGCCTTGTGGGTAAGAGAGGGAACTTTGCCACGTCCTAGAACTGCTTCAATTTCTGCATGAACCTTCTCTATTCAAAGGGACAGAGGACAAAAAGATGCAGAGTGAGACAGCATTATCTCAGTTTCACTTCTCCAYGCATCATTCTTTACATAGGTTTGTCAGAGATGACTGCAATACATAGCCCTGAATGAAATAACTTRCCAAGAGATGCCTTAAGAATAGGGTAGGGTAAGAACAAAGCAACCAAGCACAGCCCTGACAAGCGTCTATAGAGTAAAACAACTTGTTGTCAGATACTTTTTCTATACAGGAAAAATACAGGAAAAGTTGAATTCCAGTTCCAAATGTAACAATAACCTCAGCTTACATGYAACTCTGCAGTAACTAGAATGATGAAAATACCAAGTTCCTGGTCTGCATGAAAAGAASAAAACCAGGAGGCCCGCGGGCTGCACGCACTGCATGCCTGCCCTGGCTCCCTGTCCCTAGAAAGACCCATTTCTCAAAATGGAAAAAGACAGTGAAGAGATTGGAAAGCATTTAATATAGTTCTTTTATTGCATTCTGGAGTAGAATCCTGGCATAATACTGCATGCATTAAAGCCATGCAGCTTCTTCCCGCTGTTTCCTACTTTCAGTTCACTGAACCTCATTCAACTATTTCCTAAGTACTGAGGAAGGGATCAGAAAATGCTCCTTCCCCCAGACAGATCTTCCGCAAATGAAAGAGAGAAGATAAGAGACCTAATCCCAATTCTCATTCCTCCGAGGAAAGWGTCAAAGTATTGGTTGGTTCCTTTCATCTCACTAAAGGGTCAGAAACCTACAGAAGTTTGAGATACAAGATTTGCTTCACTCTTGTCTGAGAGAACATTAAGTTTTATTACAGTTAATTTGTATTTTYGTTGCATACACAAGAAAGTATCTTGAAAGAGGGAAATATATAAATATTAAGTGTCAAACAAAAGCCAGTTGTCATTTTTTTACTCTTGATACCGTAYTTTGGTGCTGTTTTGTTCACTGGAATCCAGGCTGCTTGTACCCTGGAGCTTTGGCTCTCCTCTCCCTATCGATTTGATAATTAAGTAAAAGCTTGATGCAAAAAGTTTCTGTTTTCAAAGACATGGAAAGCACCCAACAATAGGACATGGCTTGTGCTCTACAAACACTTGCTGCCATCTATAGGGCATGCTCGGGAAACAAGCTCTCGTACGAGGCCTGCACAGACCCTTGCCAACAGCGCTCTCCTACCAGACTGTTTTTCTCTGCTACTTTGGTCAGGGACAGATTGTGGCCTTGGATTCAGGTATGCACGTCCATGGGGATTTAAATGAGGAAAGTTTTCTGCATTCATAAAAAATAATGAYAATTACACTGGCTGTCTCAGGCCAAATGTCACACAAGTCTTTTATGCCAAAAAACAGTTCATAGGACTTTGCAAAAATATGTGGAATCCTATAGAAAAATCCCCAAATTGCTACTAACTACATTACCAACTGCAAAAACTGAGCCTCCAAGACTCCTTCTTATTTGAACTGCACCACCACATACACACAAACAAATATAAATAAAACTTAATTTCCACAAATCTTCAGAACTCAAGGTCTCCACAATGTTTTCCCACATGCGCTTGCGTGCACATCCCGCCTCCCCCGCTTCCAGTAGGAAGCGAAACCGGACTCCACAGCCAAACAAGCTCCGTTTGCTGCTGATGATGGTTTTTTGCCCTCTCACAACCCACCATTGGCCTTTCCATCTTTCCATTAAATGTCCGTCTGCAACGTCTGCTAGTAGTGAAGTTAGGCGCTTTCGTAAGTGGGATAAGAAAAACAAATCACTTCATTAAAAAAAAAAAAAAAAAAAGCCATATCTGACTCCCAAGCACCCAAGCAATCCCAATACATAAGGAATGGGGTTCTGGAAATAAGAAGATTCCATTATATAACTGAGCAATGCACATACTCTGATACTCTGGAAAGGGCAATTGGAGAAGTTAGAAGTGTTAGAAGTCAGCAGGAAAATTAACAGGACCAGGTATAGCAGCAGACAGAAGGAGCGGCAGTTTAAAACAAGAGAAAACCTTTCTAAATTGCACTTGGGTACTTTAGAACACATTTAATACATGTAACTTCCCAACAGCCACATTGACAGTGGGAATACAGCACCATCTAAAATAACAGAATAAGCCCATGGAATAAAATGCTTCTACAGATTTGTCCTCAGTGATCTCTGTCTCCTATGTACACTGAACTGATGCCCTATTTTGCAATCTTTGCTCAACCATTTGCATTGACTTTGTACAGTTAACTACGATCTTGCCCTTTTCAAAGAGATCATTCTAGGTGGATAGATGCTGTAAAACAATATCTGTTTGCTAGTTTGCAAAACAGCTGCAATACCCCAAAACCTACAGCACTCAATAAAAATATCCCAAGTTCATGCTGTTCTGAGACATCTTGAGGTTTATCCTTTTTTGTAAGAATCAGTTGTTGYGTGAGACTTCAGGGGAAGCTGTTCCTAAATCAGTTGCTTTATTTTCATTAAATTCAACTATCTAAGTTTGCTTCAAGTACAGTTTTCAAGGCCTACTAAAGACAATTATATCTTYGCAACCACATACACTTGAATAACACTAAGCGAAAAATAAAAAAGGAGTCTTTAAAGAAAGRAATTTATCTTAAATCCTGAAAAATAGATCTATCAAGTACTATTTTATTATTGTAATGTCTACCACAACTCTCTACAAGGCATTTGTCTTATAGACAACTGTCCCATCTCTCCAGCAGACCTGCTCTGGTAYGGCAATGTCTTTCCTATACACGAAATATATGGGGTCCAGACCTGGCCATGGTRCTCCAGCGGCAGTTTCAAGCACAAAATAGAGAGCAAAAATAATTATTCACCCACCACCACCACCCCTTTTTTTTTTTTTTTAATTTATCTTTTCTTCAAGTCACTGTCAGCCTAACCATCTGCCACGATATTTTAAGACTGAAAGAGGCTTTGCAACTACATCAAGCAGCTGCCCAGGGAAGCCTAAAAGCAGACCTTGCCACTAGATCTTACATATTTTACATGTCTTGTATMCCTTCTGTCACTACTAAATAATTCATAAAGCATTGGTCAAATGATGATTAGAAGCAAATCCAGACCCGAAAGGTGACAACTGCCAAAGCTTTTAAAACACGCAAAGCTCTCCTTGAATTGCTAAAAAGACATGGAAGTTGTGCCAAATCAGAAGAAATGCAGGGGCTGGGCAATTTAGATTGTTGATGCACAGCAGCAATCTAGAGATCATCATAGCACAGCAGGACTAGAGAAGATGTCTTATTATATACCAGCCTTTTAAGCAATACATACACATGGCCAAGAACTCTTTTTTTTTTTTTTTTAAACAACTTCTACATTGGTCCTGTTTACCTGACTGCTTCCATGTTTTCCTGCTAAAACATACCTGAAAATCACCAGGAGTTTTACAGACTGAAATAAAACACCTAGAACAGAAACAGTCTTACCTTGTACTTCTGGGTAGAGAGACATATACAGTAGGCACCACAACAGTGTATTGGAAGTGGTGTCTGTGCCTGCAATGAAGAGGTCACCAATGATAAAAAACAAGTATTCTTCATTAAAACTGCTCTCCTTATTCTTCTCTTCTTCCGCATGGAGGAAATACATATCAATGAAGTCCCTGGGATTTGCCACATCCAGTGTATCCCTGTGCTGCGCAATTATTTTCTTGAGAAAAGCAGTAATATCTAATTCTGTTTGCCTAAGTTCCCTGAAAGGTCCGAAGGGGAGGTAGTACAGCCAGGGGCAGATATTGACCAGCATCATGGAGCTGTTGACACTTAGCTCCAGTGCCCGCGCCATGTTCTTCAGCATGGTCTTGAACTCTGTGTCTTCGTAGTCAAAACGCTTTCCAAAAGTCATGGAACAGATAACGTTGGACACTGCGTTGCGAATAATCGGAAAGGGATTAAATGGATCCTTGCCATGCTTAAGTATTTCTTCCTTTATGAACTTCAACTCATCGATGATTTTCGGTTCTAAACTATGTCTTCCTACTCCAAAGTGACGAAGCGTTGAGAGAGAGAATTTCCTCTGCTGCTTCCAGACAGGGCCATAAGGTGCAAAAATAACACCTAGGAGAGAAAGGGAGAGCCTGAAACCAAGCTGCTCTGTTTTAAAGTGGGCATTGTTGCACAGGACTTGCAACACAAGGGCTGGGCAGAGAAAAACAGCACAGGCAAACCCATCCAAGCACAGGACTCGGAGCTAGGGAAAGAAAACAGCTCTCCACAACTTCTTTTGCAGCCTTGGGAAATCCGTCTCTCATTTTCCCAAAACATAAATGAATATAATAGCTATATCAATGTTTTTATTAGTCTTTGCAAGACARTAATAGAGTGTCTTAGAAAAGAACAGAGGACAAAAAAGGCACACTAGAGTCTTACAAACAGGAGGAATTTTGCAGGAAATTTTCAAAGTTCTGAGACAAACTGCATGACTGGGGTAGAACAGCAGGATATTAAACACAGTTTGTTTTGCATTTCTTTTCCTCTTCATGCTACAGGACTTCTGAAATCTGTTTGTTGTGTGTATGTGTTTCTATTACCAGTAACGTGTTTAATTATAGTTATGGTACAAGACAGGTATTGCAAAGGTGAGGGCAGATTCAGAGTGACTTGGTAATAACATACTTGATTGGCATCTCTACAATTCTAAAGCCTCTAGGCACATGTTCTGCATGAATGTGTCATCACAATGTATAATCTGAATGTAATAGCTTCAAAGATAAACGTTGTTCCTTTATAAAGAGGAGCATCTTGTTAGATTAACAAACCACACTAGAGAAATTACTACGGAATTAAAATCCACTACCACCATTTGCGATGATTCCCAGGCCGCCTGGCACAGAGCTCCCCACGGCCCTGTATCTTCCAAAGCGCTGAAAACCGAAAGCTAGGGACATGCGGAGAAAAAAAAAAAAAAAAAAAAAAAAAAAAAAAAAAAAGGAAGAAAAGCATAAAGTTAGAATGTTAGAATGATAGAGATAAAAGAGGAAACTAAACCAAGCAGGTCATTGTCATTGCCAAGCAAAGGCAAAATAGTATTTAACTCTTTTCACAGAAAATCCTTGCATGAATTGGTCAGATGTACCCAGCCCAGGTAAGTATACTATAAAAAGGAAATTGAAAAACGCTAATTCCAAAGTAACACCAATCCACAATTATGAGTCCCTGCTCATTTGAGATAGCTAATCTTTGTGAACTGACAATTAAAACTTCCCAATACAACCAGAAAGAAAACCATAAGAAAACCATAAGAAAAACACACAAACAAACAGACAGATTCCCTGTTTGTTTGAAGAAGCAAGATAGGATTTGGGGTTTTTTTTAGGAAATTTCATTTTTTCCTTAAAAAAAATGTTGTTAAAGTAACAAGTTGCTTGCTTGGCTAGCCTCCCACACATGCACTTCATTTCTCACTCGTTCTTTCAGTGTTGCAGCAATATTGAGGACACTGAAAAGCACAAATTCGCGGCAGATGTTGATGTCTAGATCTGCACAGGGTAGGGCCATAAAGGCCAATGAACCACCCAAGCTCCATCTACCCTTCAACCCGAGTCCTCGCTACCCCTCACCGCTACMGAATACGAGAACATTTTCTACAAGAAAGGCCAATATTTCTCCTTCCCCACGCAGGCTGAAGATCCAGCACTCTTGTACGGAAGTCTYTGGTTAAGAACTCACGTCCCCAATCTCCTTTAGGTTCTTCCTGCATCCTCCCCTCTGTGCCATACAACAGTGCCTGCCGCTTCAGATACTTGTTTTGCCTTCCTACAGGCRGAATATATCATATATCATCTGCATCTTATCTGCAACACAGCCACAGGCAGCTGAGATGAGCCCTTCACTGTTTCAGAATACGCTAACAAGTCGAATCAGGGCAATGGCAACTTGTGAGAGTAAATGTTGTTTAAAACAAAACCTGACCGGCCCCCCTCCCATAAATGAATACTAGGCAGAGAGGCCTGCCGCGGACCCCTCTGTGGGACCTTTGCCTGGGGCCTGCGCACCCGAGCAGGTTTCACCGCTGCAGCCGCCGGCGGCTCTGCTGCGTGCCCCGGCGCTCAGTGCCCCCGCAGCGSAGCCGGGCAGGCAGCCAGGGCAGAGGGCTCCTGTCTTGGCGCCGGAGCCCGGTGTCCGGCCGGGCGCGGGTGGCAGCAGGGGCGGCAGCATCAGCTGTGGTTCGCCAGCCCCGCTCCTGCGGAGCCGCCTCGAGGCTCCCGACCCTCCTGCCTCCCCGCAGCACCTGCTCGCCGAGGCTGTTCGCCGCTTATCGGAGATGTTGTCGCAGTATTTATGTAAATTATCTGTAAAAAACGACATGTTGATAGTGCCAGATAACCCCTGCGCCGTTGTTACCACACGGTTTACACAGATCTAGTAACACTCGGGAGCTCTTCGCCTTTTCTTCCCCCGCTCCAGGCTAAGACTGCTCTGGCGCTGCAAGGGCCAGCGGACCCGCACCTAAACCCGCCCGTTAGACGCCGTTACAGCCGCGGCACCGGCTGCGTTCTCAACGGGCACAACGCGGGTTTCCCGCCTCCCGCTCAGCTACTGGCGCCGCCGCGCGGGAAGGGGCCGTTGCGGGGCCGTTGGGGCGCGGCGCGTTACCTTTCTTGCGGGTGATCATGAGCACGATGGGCACGGAGGGCCGGTCGCTGAACGCCTCCGCCTTGAGCACGAGCGCCTCGCGCACCGCCTCGAACGTGTTGAGCACGATGAGCGGGCGGCTGCCCACGAACAGGCGGAAGACGCCGCCGTACGTGTCGCGCAGGCCCGTGAGGAAGACGTGGGGCGACAGGACGGGGCAGCCCTTGCCCCCGCGGCCGCCCCACACCTCGGGCACCCAGCGCCGCAGCAGCGGCGGCAGCAGCGCGAAGGCGAAGTTGCCCACGAGCGGCCAGGGCGCGGGGCCCGGCGGCAGCCCCGGCGGCGCCCG